GTGATATTTCAGTTTTTCTTTTTTAATAAATCTGCAAAAATGTCAACGATTCTGTGTTTTTCTGTCAATATGGGGTGCTGTGTGTACATTAATGAGGAAAAAAAATTAACTTAAATGATTTTAGCAAATGGCTGCAATATAACAAAGAGTGAAAAATTTAAGGGGGTCTGAATACTTTCCGTACCCACTGTATAACATACTGTCCTGTTTTTATTTCAAATATGTTTTCTAAAAAAAAAAAAAAAAGGCTTTATGTTTCACAGCTGTGATATGAAATATCTACACTTTTGTTGGATATTTATAAATATTTTAATACAATCAGGGAATATTGATGTCAGTTGACCCGAAGTGCACCTGGTGAATTTCATAGGCTTTTTATAATTTCAAGAAATGTATGTTTTGTGTTATGATTTTTTATGGCAACATCATGTCTGATGTCCAAAATATAGTTATTGTGTCAGCATTGTAAGATGTTCTGTATGACTGTAGTGAAAATTCAATAGATTGAACTGAAAATGAGTTTGAAATCATTAATTCATTCAATACTACATTTGTCAATATTTATAAGTGTTTTTTCTGTATCTGAAATATTGAGTACCCATGAACATGTTTAATAAATTCATCTAAATAATTATAATAATAATTATTATTAACAAATAATTAAATATAATTAATTGATGCATGATTTTTTCCCCCTATTTTTGTGACCTGTTTTGTCCCAGATCTCAAGAATGAGTGTTGTTTTTATTTTTTAGCTCATGTTTGTTTAATCATAGCTTATGAGCTTATCTTTGGAAGAGTCTGAACATCGTTTTAACCTTTTAATCATTCGTTAAGGTCATTCATAATCAGTATTCCACTAGGAATGCATAAAAACGAACCACGAGCACTACACGACAAAGACAGACCTTTTTTTCTTAAGTTCTGTCAAAAACATCATGCATTAGTTGTGCATCAAGCGAAAGTCAAGTGCGCATTGCATTGTGGGATGCAATATTTCGTGCAGTATGCTCTGTTGTTGTATATTACACGTTGACAGGTGCAACATGTGTTTCATGTACACTGTGTCTAGTATGCATACTATAGTCTGTACTGCAGAAATAATATGCACTGTACTATTGAAAACACAGCCATAGCTCTAGCTTAGTGTCTGCTTTTTTGGATTGTGGAAAGTGGATTGAAAGATGTTGAGCAATGAATGAAATGTGAATGAGTAGAATGAGTATGTGTGTGTGAATCTGTCATGCATTTGTGTGTGTGTGTGTGTGTGTGTGTGTTAATAATGAGCAAGGTCACCTCACTGAAGTCACATGTTTTTCTCTCTGAGTTTTGTTTTTTTTCGCTGTAATGCTTCTGAAACCAGTACTCAAATTTAGGCCTTTACGTCATGAATGTTGAGCGCAGATGTTGAGCCGACTGTCTGTCGCTCTGTCAGTCTAGAGAGAAATAAACTCCGTCCAGATGTGTTCAGCGCTGCGGCTCTCAACTTTTAGCGCTTTCAAAGACAGATATTTGCATATTCCTTGCGATATTTTGAAGGTTTTTATTTTTTGTAGCTGCGGTTAGTATTGTTTGTTAGTCGTGTTCTTACAGGCTGATGAAATCAGTGTCGTTGTTAAACATGGACGAACACTTCAAAGGTACGAGCTGAACTCGGTTCTCTGTGGGTTTTAATGTGTGTTATGATGTTCTGCGTCTCGATGTTATTTCATGAGAGTCTTAAGTGTGTTTCTTACTTGCTTCTGCTCTTTCATGCAGGATTGAGGTTCTTAAGAGCCTTGAGGCTGATCCAGTTTTCAGAAATATTACAGTTTTTAAATATCTTAAAAACAAGGTAAGAATCCCTTCAAGTGCAGCATGTGATTTCTGAACTCATGTGGAAATAGCTGTTTATAATTCTTCACCTGCGTGTTCTTTAGCATTATCCTTGATCTTAAATGAAAATCATACTTTTTATAAATCTGATAACATTTTGTAATCTAGGTACATTTGCTTTTTATATATCGTGCTTTGTAGATTTCATTAGAGTCGTTCTTTTAAAGTGTGTGTTCACAGAGGATGATTTGCTGTCTTTTTTTCCCAAAACATGATTTTACAGAATAAAAAGTATAAATTCTTCAATTGACAAATAGTTTAACTGCAATTTTATCTTTATTATATTATATTATATTACACACTCAGAAAAGTCTGTTTAAATAGGGTATAATGTACAGTATTAATATAGATACATTTACTGTATTTTTCGCAGGTGTTTCACCTGTATTTTGAATGATGTATTGCATTGTGTTGTTTTTACGGTTAAAGGAAATGGCTTAGTAATGTCTCGGTCAAAAATGACCAGTACCTTCTGCATTTTTCTACAGAATTTTTTTCTTACAGTTTTAATTGTATTTAATTTAATTTAATTTAATTTAATTTAATTTCATTGTATTTACTATTTTTCAATCAGTGACTCAATCAATCCAGGCATTTATTTTATTTTATTTTATTTTATTCTGTTCTATTTTATTTTATTTTATTCTATTCTATTTTATTTTATTTTATTTTATTCTATTTTATTCTATTCTATTTTATTTTATTTTATTTCATTCTGTTCTATTTTATTTTATTTTATTCTATTCTATTCTATTCTATTCTATTCTGCCTGTCGTGCTTGAATATCTTTGACATTGTGCTCAGAAATCTGTCCATCTCCCTGCGGCTTAGATCTAAAGCTTTAGCGCAGATGTCCAGGAGAGCTTATTGTGCAACAAAATGAATAATCTCACTGTAATTCATTCAAATGGAGGTGGGGAGAGAGGTGAAATCTACTGAACAGACTGTGCCAAAACAATCTGAAATGATTTTTGGACTAAAATTGGCCAGTATTATACAAAGAACTTAAGTTTATGGATACAGCAGAACGTTTAGTCATCTGAGTCATTTCTGTTCTTTTGCAAATGTTTTGTTTTTTATGAAAGGTTTAGCAGGCTTTCCAAAATATGCTCTGGTTGAATTCAAAATTATGTGCAGTATTAGTTCAAAAATGTTGATTCATGTGAGTATCAGTTGTGCGTTGATGTGAGTATTTCTAATATTTGTTTTTATAGCAACTCCATAAAGTTGGTGAATTTGTGCTCAATCTTTATAAGCACATGGCTGACGGCAGCGGGCTTCATACATTTGGTAAGTCAATTGCATCAGGAATGAACTGGATGGTGAAAAGCTACTGATGAATCATTCACAATAAGACCAAGATTGTGTATTGAGAAAGAGGAATAGTTCACACAAAAATAAAAATTTGCTTTGAAAATTAAAGTTTCTTCATCAGATTTGGAGAAATGCTGATAAACAGCTGATAAAACATCTCAATAATCCACAAGTAATCCACAGCACTCCAGTCCATCAGTTAACATCTGGAGAAGACAAAAGCTGAAACAAATCCAGCATTAAGACGTTTTTAACTAAAATACGAATCTAATCCATAATAACGCTTCCTCCAGCTGTTTGGACTCTCATTCTGACGGCACCCATTCACTGCTGAGACACTGATGCAATGCTACATTTCTCCAAATCTGATGAAGAAACAAACTCATCCTAATGATGAGGGTGAGGGTGGCACATTTTCAGCAATTCTTTTTTATTTTGGGGTGAACTATTCCTATAATAGGATCAGTTTTGATTTCATGTTAACAATTGCTTAGGTAAAGCTTAAGTAGAAATACTGAGCCTGTTGGTGTGTTTTCAGGTGGAAAACTCAGGGGATCCTTGGGAAAACTTCCAAAATTCCCAACTGCTTTCCTACTGGGAGTGTGTGTACTTACTCATGGTAACCATGTCCACAGTGGGTTATGGAGATGTTTGTGCTAAAACAACCCTCGAACGCCTTTTCATGGTCTTCTTCATTCTCGGAGGATTGGTAAAAAGCCTAAATAAATAGAAGCAATCCCATAATAATTCACCCACAGCCTGCATTTCTGCCTCCAATTATCAGGTCCTTAATCATTGTATCCTTGACAACCAGAGCTGGAAAATGAACCCTACATTTTGCTTCAATCCAAATATTCAATCCAAACGTTCCCAGCTTCTGCTTGTCATGATGGAAAGATCTTCATGTGTTTTTGCTTGTACTGCATTGCGTGTTTTTGGTTCTTAAGTAATTTTTAAAAAGTATTTCTATATTTCAAATGCTATATTTGTTGATTTCATGTGATAAGTGGAACCATCATTAGGGAGTACAAAGTAATTCTGTTTGTAGAAATCATGACTGACTGCGGTTTTAGACGACCCGACCCAATCTACCCCACCCCAACTCCAACAAACTCTATGAAGGGCTGAGATACACTCCGTCACGATGTCAACATACATCATGCATATATGACTGTCTCAAATTAAAATAGCATTTTAATATTAATTATTATTAATATTATTATTATTATTCATTATAGAAATAAATACAAATATGTATATCAGTTAACATGGATAAAATTGTATATAATTTTTTGTCAATATATTAAAACACATTAGTTTTAATATTAATAATTTTTTATAAAGTTTATAAAGACAGATAGATTATAAAGATAGATATTATTTGTAGTATGAATTGCAATGCTTTAATAAAAACATTTAGGACACTTTAGTGCACAGATCTTTTCGATTTGTCCCATTTACAGTATAATGATTAATTTTGTTAGTGGTCTTTTTGAAAGACAATTGACTGCTTATCTGAAAGTTTTAAGATTATTTTTCCATATAAATAAAGTAATAAAATATTAATATTAAAACATTATTTTAATTAAAATATTATTTATGTAATTAATTTATATTAATATTAATTTCAATTATTATTAATATTTTATATACAAATTTAACCATATAAACATAAACACAATTATATTAATTACAAAAAATATTTTAAAATATTACAAAAATATTAAAGTTAACATTTTATTATTAATAATTTTTCATAAAGTCTGTAAAGAGAAATAGATTTTGCTATTAATTGTACTATGTAAAGTAATGCTTTTAGAAAACATTTTCTACATAAAATAAATTAAGGACACATTAATTCACAGATCATTCCAATTTGCCCCATTTATGATTCATGTGGTCAGTGTAATACAATAAATAAATAAATAAATTCCAATAAAAATCTGTGTTTCAAAGTGTTTTTGAAAGACAGTTCACTGCCTAATTATATAAATATACTAAAATAATTATCATATTGTATTTTGTAAATATATTCAAATTAACATTAATTTTAATATTAATAATTTTTCATAAAGTTTGTATATAAATTTATTTTGTTATTAATTGTAGTATGTACTGTAATGTTTGAGATCTGCAGTCTTTAGGAAGGCAGTTTTATGAACTTCTGTAATAATGTAAATGATGTAAAAGGTAAAGTGCAGCAGTGTTACAGGTGACAGTCGTGCTCATATCAGCCCGGCGTAAGAGTTTGTTCGGACTAAACATGGCTCTTGAGGTTTCCTCCTTTACATCACCGTTTTCCCTCTTAAAACAGCAGATCGAATCTCATCTGTGGCTTTTCTTCTCTTCAACACTGATATCCCTAAAAACAGGAATATTTGTCAAACAGAATGCTTTTACTTTTATCCTAAAACCTTCCAGCCTCTAAATTCTGGGCAATGCATGTATACAAGCATTCTGACACTCACTGTCTGCATGTTAAAGCTCCAGTATTTAACACTTAAAGGGATAGTTTGTACTAAAATGATCATTCTGTCATCGTTTACTCAGCCTCATGTCATTTCTTTCTCCGGTGGAACTCGAAAAGGTCAATTTTAGGAACATCTTGGCTGCTTTTCCGTATAATGAAAGTGAATGGGGACCAAAGTTACAGTCCATATGACTTGTTCTTCAGACAAGCGATCATATGACTTCAGAAATCAAGTCACCTTTATTTCTATAGTGCTTTATACAATACAGATAATAAATAAATAATAATAAAACAGGAAAATATGAGAATCAGTGATACGGACTTCTTCAAATATGAGATGAATTCTGCATTAATGCACAGATCTTTCCAATTTGCTCCATTTAAAATGATTAATTTTGTTGGTGTGATACAAACAAAATATATAACAACTATAAGTGTTTTTGAAAGACAATCCACTACTTATCTGAGAGTTTTAAGACCATCTTATTGCCCTAATGATTTATTTTCATATAAATAAAGTAATAAAATATTAATGTTGAAACATTGTTTTCATATTGATATTATATACAAATGTAATTATTTAAATATATGAAAAATAATTATATTCATTAATATGAATAAAATGAATTATATACAATATTTTATAAATAAAAATTAACATTCATTTTAATATTAATATTGATGTATTATGTATTGTATATTATGCACATTAATGCACAGATGCCACATGTAAAATGATCAATTTGGTTGGTGTAATGCAATGTGTGTGTGTGTGTGTGTGTGTGTGTGTGTGTGTGTGTCTGTGTGTGTGTGTGTGTGTGTGTGTCTGTGTGTGTGTGTGTGTGTGTGTGTCTGTGTGTGTGTGTGTGTGTGTGTGTCTGTGTGTGTGTGTGTGTGTGTGTGTCTGTGTGTGTGTGTGTGTGTGTGTGTCTGTGTGTGTGTGTGTGTGTGTGTGTCTGTGTGTGTGTGTGTGTGTGTGTGTCTGTGTGTGTGTGTGTGTGTGTGTGTCTGTGTGTGTGTGTGTGTGTGTGTGTCTGTGTGTGTGTGTGTGTGTGTGTGTCTGTGTGTGTGTGTGTGTGTGTGTGTCTGTGTGTGTGTGTGTGTGTGTGTGTCTGTGTGTGTGTGTGTGTGTGTGTGTCTGTGTGTGTGTGTGTGTGTGTGTGTCTGTGTGTGTGTGTGTGTGTGTGTGTCTGTGTGTGTGTGTGTGTGTGTGTGTCTGTGTGTGTGTGTGTGTGTGTGTGTCTGTGTGTGTGTGTGTGTGTGTGTGTCTGTGTGTGTGTGTGTGTGTGTGTGTCTGTGTGTGTGTGTGTGTGTGTGTGTCTGTGTGTGTGTGTGTGTGTGTGTGTCTGTGTGTGTGTGTGTGTGTGTGTGTCTGTGTGTGTGTGTGTGTGTGTGTGTCTGTGTGTGTGTGTGTGTGTGTGTGTCTGTGTGTGTGTGTGTGTGTGTGTGTCTGTGTGTGTGTGTGTGTGTGTGTGTCTGTGTGTGTGTGTGTGTGTGTGTGTCTGTGTGTGTGTGTGTGTGTGTGTGTCTGTGTGTGTGTGTGTGTGTGTGTGTCTGTGTGTGTGTGTGTGTGTGTGTGTCTGTGTGTGTGTGTGTGTGTGTGTGTCTGTGTGTGTGTGTGTGTGTGTGTGTCTGTGTGTGTGTGTGTGTGTGTGTGTCTGTGTGTGTGTGTGTGTGTGTGTGTCTGTGTGTGTGTGTGTGTGTGTGTGTCTGTGTGTGTGTGTGTGTGTGTGTGTCTGTGTGTGTGTGTGTGTGTGTGTGTCTGTGTGTGTGTGTGTGTGTGTGTGTCTGTGTGTGTGTGTGTGTGTGTGTGTCTGTGTGTGTGTGTGTGTGTGTGTGTCTGTGTGTGTGTGTGTGTGTGTGTGTCTGTGTGTGTGTGTGTGTGTGTGTGTCTGTGTGTGTGTGTGTGTGTGTGTGTCTGTGTGTGTGTGTGTGTGTGTGTGTCTGTGTGTGTGTGTGTGTGTGTGTGTCTGTGTGTGTGTGTGTGTGTGTGTGTCTGTGTGTGTGTGTGTGTGTGTGTGTCTGTGTGTGTGTGTGTGTGTGTGTGTATGTGAAACAACTATCAGTGTTTTTTAAAGAAAATCTGATGCTTATCTGAATGTTTTAAGACCAACTTATTTCCATAATATTTTTTCATGTAAACTAATTAATAAAATATTAATAATAAAGCATTATTTTAATATTAATTTTTAAATACATGTAAAAATTTTGAATGTAAAAAATAAATTTGTATTAATTTAATGATACAGCCCTAGTTCAGTTTAATAACTGTGTAAAGTTGATCAGTTTGTGAACCGAGTTCAATTCTCTACATAAGATAATAGTGTCGATATTCAGCTCGAGTCTTGATTCAGTTCAGTTCAGTAACACTGTTGATGTTGCAAAATTCATCCAATTCAGCTCAAGTTTTGTCTTATCCATTAGTTGAGGACAGAAGACTTGAAAAATAGAGCGCAAGTTGTATGGACTACTTTTATGATGCTTTTTTTTTTTGTATTTTCAAAGCTCAGTCATCCATCATTTTCATTATATTGCAATGAGATGCTCATTGTTTATTTATAAATGCATCTTTTGTTTGCTGACGAAAGAAAGTCATATGGGTTTGTAATGATACGAGGGTGAGCAAACGTCTTAACTCTCATTTCGGCTGAACTATCCCTTCAAGGCTCTTATTTCTGATATGAAACCTCTCTTCTACTGAAGGTAGAAGCATTGGCAGACTTCTATTGTCCTGTGTCTCCTGTCTCCTCCTCCAGGCCATGTTTGCCAGCTACGTTCCTGAAATCATAGAGTTAATAGGAAACCGCAAGAAATATGGTGGTTCCTATAGTGCAGTAAATGGGAGAAAGTAAGTACCGCGGGTTGGGCTGCGCTCGCTCAGTGCGCTCGGCCCGTCTGCATGCTCGTCTCTCTCTCTGTCCCATGCATGTAGGCAATGTTTGCTCGCTACGTGCCTGAAATCGCTGCTCTCATCCTTAATCGGAAGAAATATGGAGGGAGTTATAACTCGACCCAAGGAAGAAAGTAAGTCAAAGGATTGAAGACACCGAACCTCTAATGAATAGGTTCTTATTTTCCGCAGGGTCTGGCGTGGAGGAGCACGGACTCTGACCTCACAGGAAGTCGCTGTAGTGCTTCCTGTGATGTCAGAGGTGCTCCTCCACAGGAAGTAGTATATTATGAGGGTCTGGGGTCAAACGGCACAAATCATCTCATTGCTTGTCACGTCGTGCAAGTCGCTCATCGCTTGCTGATTCGTGCTACTTGTGACACTTGGGCTTCTGCGTGTAGCGGTGGTTGTACTGTTGTATGTTCATCGCAAAGCGGTATTTTGTTTGCTCTGTTTGGCTGTATGAACCTTTGCTTTGGAGATTCAAAACAAACAGAAAGAATGAATGCTTTTTTTTCATCAAGGATGCATTAAATTGATCAAAAGTGACAGTAAAGACATTTATAATGTTACGAAAGATTTCAATTTCAAATAAATGCTGTTCTTTTGAACTTTCTGTTCATCTGTGAATCCTGAAAAATAAAATGCATCACAGTTTCCACAAAAATATTGTGCAGCACAACTGTTTTCAACATTGATAATAATCAGAAATGTTTCTTGAGCAGCAAATCAGCATATTAGAATGATTTCTGAAGATCATGTGACACTGAAGACTGGAGTAATGATGCTGAAAATTCAACTGCGCATCACAGATCACAGAAACAGTTTAACAGATATTCACATAGAAAACAGCTATTTTAAATTGAAATAATATTTCACAATTCACAATAAATGCAGCCTTGCTGAGCAGAAAAGACAAAAAACTGTACCCACCTCGATCTTTTGAATGATAGTAATATATACTGTTTTGACTTGACTTTTTAGCCTTTTCAAACTTTCAAGTGTATGTAAATAAACTCGTTTTAAATAATAATAAGCCATTTTATGAGGTGTCACAAATATGCACATTTTTCACAGTATCAATCACAAAATTCAACTGTACGTCACTGCAATGTTTTGTGTCAACTTATTTTAATGCCTTTAATGCCTAACTAAAACAGTGTAGAAATGATATATGAAATATATACTTGCATTACTTAATAATTAATTATCAGCAGTCATTTTGATGGATTATTCTTTTCCGACTGTCCGTGAAGCTTTCGTATTGTTGTTTGTTAAGGTGCTCAGATGCTTTGGCTTTAAAGACCCCATGAAATCAAGACTGGTGTTTTGTGGGGTTAGTCTATTAGCTTTGTGTTCATCTACAGCATATAATAATTTCAGCAGATTTAAGCATTTAAAATGAGTTGGCTTTCTCTTATGAGATCACTTTAGATTATATTCCGATTTTAAACCCATTAAATGTTCACTAAAGTCTGAGTAGTGATTTTAAGGGGTCTTTAACTCATTACAGTGGCACTGCATTGCTGTTATTGCTTTAAACTCATTTGTTGTTGTTTTTTTAAGTAAGCTTAGGACAAGGTTTGTTCTTGTTACAGTATACACCAATTAAATCCAGTTTCTCCTGAGAAAACCTACCCAGACTCCCTTAAAACTAGCACATGCTCGGGGTTCATTTCAGTCTGATTGTGCATAATTGTAAGGCTAAATGTTGTGTAACTTGTGATCTGGGTGGTTTTCTCTCTTGTTGATCACCTCTGATGTTTTCTGATGAATACGCACCCGTTGCGTTTCTCAGGCATATAGTCGTCTGCGGTCACATCACGCTGGAGAGCGTCTCCAACTTCCTCAAAGACTTCCTACACAAGGACAGGGATGATGTCAATGTAGAAATAGTTTTTCTCCATAAGTAAGTATAATAGTGGAATTAAATGGAGTTTTCATCTGCACAAAAGATTTGTTGTGAAGAACACTTCTGCTGCTCTGTTTTATGAGTGAACGTCTTCGTCTCACAGTGCCATTGTGTGTGTGTGTGCGCGTGTGTGTGTGTGTGTGTGTGTGTGTGTTTTCAGTATTTCCCCTAATCTTGAGCTGGAAGCCTTATTCAAGAGACACTTCACACAGGTGGAGTTTTACCAGGGATCCGTCCTCAACCCTCACGATCTCGCTCGAGTCAAGGTATGGCTTTGATCTACAGTCTGCAGACTGCTCATAATCATAGAAAATCTGGAAATATCAGGGCAATATGTGTGTATTACCTGCACTGTAAAACAAATTTGGTTGGTGCCTTATTTTTTTAAGTATTCAGATTGATTTAATTTTAATTATTTTAAACTGACTTTAAAAAATCTAATTAAATCTTGTATAACTTGAAAAATCTAAAAGTTGCTTTGACAAATTAGTGGAAAAAAACGTTACCATGACATATTGATCAAATAATTTTTACAGTGTAGAAATGTCACATAAATTTATATGACCATAAAAAATCATGGAAATTTATACTGTACATTTTTCTAGTTATGCTCTGTCTAAAATATTTAATCAGATATTGTTCTTGTGTAAAGCATGGTTATTATAGTAAACTAAAACCATTAAAATATTTTCGTTACATGAAATAAAATAAATGTTAACTGGCATAAAATAAAATGAAATATAAAAAAATATATATTTTATTCCAGCTAGTTGCCAACTATACATCGTTTTTGTTTAGTTTAAATTGAAGAACTAAAACAATTAAAACTAAATAAACTAAAGCAAATAAATACAAATTAATAAAAACTAATAGACATATTTAAAGAAAACAAAAACTAATATGACAAAAACATGCAGCAAAATTACTAAAACTTGAACTAAAATTTAAATTAAAACGAAATTTTAAAATAAAATCTAATTCAAAATATTAACAAAAAAATCTGATACTAAAATAAAACTATAAAAAATAAAATGCAAAAAATGATAAAAACACCAAAATTTACTTTGACTAAAACTAAAGTAAAAAATAGAAAATCTAAAAATAAAATCTAATAAAAAAAAAATAACACTGTGGTAGAATACTAGCTAATTCATGAGTGAATCTTGTTTTTAATGAGTCATTTGAGTTGATTCACTAATTGGTCTGAATGATTTGCTAGTAATTTCTCTGATTTGTCTGAGTGGTGTTAAAAATCTTTATGCAGTAATAACAAGCATCTGAGCTCATGGAAAAGGAAATTCACTGGACAGAAATATGGGAGCGCTGCAAACAGCAATTATTTTAGCCCATTTACTTACATCCTGTAAAGTTCATTCACTTTTTAAAATTAGATCTGTGTTTTTTTAAATCTCATTTTTCTAGATTGAATATCAGGGCAATATGTGTGTATTATGTGTGTATTAACTGTAAAACAAATTTGGTTGGTGCCTTATTTTTTTAAGTATTCAGATTGATTTAATTTTAATTATTTTAAACTGACTTTAAAAAATCTAATTAAATCTTGTATAACTTGAAAAATCTAAAAGTTGCTTTGACAAATTAGTGGAAAAAAACGTTACCATGACATATTGATCAAATAATTTTTACAGTGTAGAAATGTCACATAAATTTATATGACCATAAAAAATCATGGAAATTTATACTGTACATTTTTCTAGTTATGCTCTGTCTAAAATATTTAATCAGATATTGTTCTTGTGTAAAGCATGGTTATTATAGTAAACTAAAACCATTAAAATATTTTCGTTACATGAAATAAAATAAATGTTAACTGGCATAAAATAAAATGAAATATAAAAAAATATATATTTTATTCCAGCTAGTTGCCAACTATACATCGTTTTTGTTTAGTTTAAATTGAAGAACTAAAACAATTAAAACTAAATAAACTAAAGCAAATAAATACAAATTAATAAAAACTAATAGACATATTTAAAGAAAACAAAAACTAATATGACAAAAACATGCAGCAAAATTACTAAAACTTGAACTAAAATTTAAATTAAAACGAAATTTTAAAATAAAATCTAATTCAAAATATTAACAAAAAAATCTGATACTAAAATAAAACTATAAAAAATAAAATGCAAAAAATGATAAAAACACCAAAATTTACTTTGACTAAAACTAAAGTAAAAAATAGAAAATCTAAAAATAAAATCTAATAAAAAAAAAATAACACTGTGGTAGAATACTAGCTAATTCATGAGTGAATCTTGTTTTTAATGAGTCATTTGAGTTGATTCACTAATTGGTCTGAATGATTTGCTAGTAATTTCTCTGATTTGTCTGAGTGGTGTTAAAAATCTTTATGCAGTAATAACAAGCATCTGAGCTCATGGAAAAGGAAATTCACTGGACAGAAATATGGGAGCGCTGCAAACAGCAATTATTTTAGCCCATTTACTTACATCCTGTAAAGTTCATTCACTTTTTAAAATTAGATCTGTGTTTTTTTAAATCTCATTTTTCTAGATTGAGTCGGCCGATGCCTGTCTGATCTTAGCCAATAAATACTGTGCAGATCCTGACGCTGAAGATGCATCCAATATCATGAGGTGGGACAGTGTGCCAACTTCATTTAAACCTCCCAAATAAACAAAATAATTATTGCAACTCAAAAATCAACAACTTTTGATGGATTTCAGAAGATTTAAAGTGTGATGTGTGTTTTTCTTAGGGTGATATCCATTAAAAACTACCATCCAAAGATCCGAATCATTACACAGATGCTGCAGTACCACAATAAGGTGAGAGTTTCCATATTGCCATATATTACAGTCTTAAGTGCACTTGTAATGTTATTCAAACTGCCAAAATGTAGTTTTTCATGACCATTGTCCCTTTTCATGTTCTTTAGATGCTTTCAAGCTGTTCTACTGTAACTTTAAAACTAAGAATCACAAGCTGTTTGTTTTCAGTAAATGTTCTGGATGAATTAAGGAGGGAGCTTTGAGTTGTGGATTTTCAAGTATGCCACACTGTACAACAAAATCTTATTTCAAAAGAGTTATAAGGCCTTGAATGCATGTGCTTTCTGTCCTCGTCTTCTCCAGGCTCATCTTCTCAACATCCCGAGCTGGAACTGGAAGGAAGGCGATGACGCCATCTGCCTCGCCGAGCTGAAGCTTGGCTTCATCGCCCAGAGCTGCCTGGCACAGGGTCTGTCCACCATGCTGGCCAACCTCTTCTCCATGAGGTCCTACATCAAGGTCAGTCCACACATGAACAGCTGGATCATTACCTTTTGAATCCTGAGCATGAAACTCACAACTTTCTTTCGTTTAGATTGAAGAAGACACGTGGCAGAAGTATTATTTAGAGGGAGTAGCCAATGAAATGTACACGGAGTATCTGTCCAGTGCTTTCGTGGGTTTGTCCTTCCCCACCATTTGTGAGTAAGTATGATGGGTGCGGTTATTTCCACTCTTTTCCAAATGTTAGCATAAGAGTAAATTCATTAAAACAACACAAATTGAAGTATGGGAATGATGTAGTGAAATGCAAACAATATTTGAGCGATTGCAAAGACGCTGCACTTTGAAAAAAGTTTGTTTTGCAAAGAAATTCACATGACTACGAAACTGCATATAAGCAAAAGTTTCAAGTTTGAGAACATGAGAGACAAATTCAAGTGTGTCCAAACTTTTGACAGGTTTTGTATCTTTCTTGATTATTCGGATTCGTTTCTGGATAATTTGGCTGTAAAGTTGCTGATGTAAATAGATAAATAAATAAGGAAACAAATGTCTAATAAATGTGAATATTGCTCATCTATTATGTGTAATTTAGTTTTAATTGAACTTTTGTTTCTCTGCAGGCTCTGCTATGTGAAGCTGAAACTCCTGCTGATCGCGATTGAATATAAATCAGACCAGAGAGAGTGCAGGTCAGTCTGATCTTCATTAAAAACATTTATAGTCCTAAAGATCCAGCATCCTGACAGCAATACATACTCTTGACTCAATTACTATTATAGTTTATTTTTTAAATATATTTTGAATTAGATTTCATTTTTATATGTTGTTTTCACTTTAATTTGAGTTCAATTTGATTCATTTTGTTGTTTATATTTTTTAATTAATGTCTGTATAGTTTTTTAATTCATTTTTATTTATTTTAGTTTATTTAGTTTTAGTTATTTTAGTACTTAAAGTTAAATTAAACAAAATGAGAAATGTTGAACTAACTAAATATTTAGTTTATATATATATATATATATATATATATATATAGATATATATATATGT